TCGTCTGAGGTGCTGGGTGGTAGTCCTGTTTTGTCAGATATGGAGCGTTTTGATGATGTTTTGTTACAGGCCGATTTGGTGGAGCCTCGTGTGTCTGGGTCTTGGTTTACTTGGACAAATAAGCATTTGGGGGCTGGTCTTATTCTCAAGCACCTTGATCGTGTTTTGGTCAATTCCGCTTGGTTTGGTTCCATGCTTGTTTTTGAGGTTCAGGTTCGCGAGTGGGGTGTCTCTGATCATTGCCCTCTTGTATTTCTGGTTGGTGTTGAGGTGCCTAGGTGTCGCCCGTCTTTTCGGTTCTTTGACTATTGGGCTGAGGATCCCCTATTCTTGTCAGTTGTTCGGGACACGTGGAAGGTTCATTCTCAGGTTTCTCCTCTTGTGAGTTTTGGTATGAATCTTCGTGCTTTGAACCCTGTGTTGCGTCGTTTCGGTCATCATATTGGTACTATTCAGAAGGGTGTGTAGGAGGCGCGTGCTCATATGCTTGCTGCTCAGGCTTTACTTTTGAGTGACCCTTCTTCGATAGGTGCTCAGGAGGAGGAGCGGGTCGCCTCTCGTGATTTCTGGGATTGGGCTATGATGGAGGAGGCTTCGTTGCGACAGAAGTCCCGGGTCCGGTGGCTTTCTTTGGGAGACCAGAACTCTGCTTTTTTCCACTGTAGTGTTCGAGGCCAGATTGTTCGTAATGATCTTGCCTCCTTGACGGATGCTGCAGGTCGGGTTGTTACTGATCGTGCTGAGATTGCTCGATTGACGATTAGTTTTTATCGTCGGTTGTTGGGCTTGGAGTGTGTAGGTTATCGTGATCTTACTTCTCGTCTGGCTGCTATTGTGGATTTTGTGTGGCCTCCTGAGTGTGGGGTTGAGTTGTGTCGTCCTGTTACTTCTCTGGAGGTGCGGGAGGTGTTGTTTTCGATGTCTAGTGGTAAGGCTCCTGGTCCGGATGGGTTCTTCGTGAGCTTCTTTAAGGCGGCTTGGAGTGTTGTGGGTGATGACTTTTGTAAAGCGGTGTTGCATTTCTTTGATACTTCCTTTTTGCCTTCTGGGGTGAATTCTACGTCGCTTACTTTGGTCCCTAAGATCCCCAATCCTTCGGGGTTAGGGGATTTCCGCCCTTTCTCATGCTGTAATGTGTTGTATAAGTGCATTACCAAGCTTTTAGCTAACCGGTTGAAAATCTGGTTTCCCAGGTTTATTAGTCAGAATCAGTCTGCTTTTGTGCCTGGACGTCGAATTGTCGAAAATATTTTGCTTTGTCAGGAGCTTGTTGGGGGGTATCATCTTAATAAAGGTATCCCCCATTGTGTGCTTAAGGTGGATCTTCAGAAGGCGTATGACTCGGTGCATTGGGATTTCCTGTTTGGTCTGTTACTGGCCATTGGGACCCCGGTTCGCTTTGTTATTTGGATCCGGGCTTGTGTTACATCTCCTGTGTTTTCCATTTCTCTGAATCGTTCGCTTGAGGGTTCTTTTCCTGGTCGTTGTGGGCTCCGTCAAGGGGATCTTCTTTCCCCTTATCTTTTTGTTATGACCATGGAAATGTTGTCGGGTATGCTTAATCGACCTCCGGCGGGGTTTCGATATCATCTGAAGTGTGATCGGATTGGTTTGACTCACCTGTGTTTTGCTGATAACTTAATGATTTTTTCGCATGGGGATGTTGGTTCTCTTTCCTTTATCCGGGATTCTTTGGTGGAGTTTGAGGCGATGTCGGGTCTTGTTGCTGATACTCGTAAGAGCTCTTTTTTTGGGGCTGGTCTTCCTCTTGAGGAGGTGCAAGGGTTGGCTTCTTTCTTGGGGTTTTCGGTGGCAACTCTCCTGGTGCGGTATCTTGGCGTTCCGCTCCTTTCTCGTCGGTTGTCTTTTCGCGATTGTAAGCCTTTGTTGGAGAAGATTAGT